CTTGGTTTGATGGTATTATAAATGACCAAACTTCATTATTCTGACTAATCACCAATGATTGACCAAGATTTGTCATATAAAAAAACAAAAAAACAAGTGAAATATGTAGATAAAGATATAATTGTATAAACAGGTGTTAAGAAGATTAGCACTTGGCTTAATGAAATTTAAATGAAATTATTATTATTACTACTATAGTGGTCTTACATAGCGCGGTACCCCAGCCTAGGGCTGGGCTCACTGCGCTTCACATAAAAATATTAGCAAATATAACCATGACATTAAAAAATTACTTACATTTATTTAATTAAAAAACAGCTGTACAAAAAAATATTCACCCCGCCCACCCAAGAACTATTTACATGTCAAGCCATGGATGGCACCCAGCAGCATCGCATATCGGTCAGAGTTGGGTGGGAATCAATCGGAATAGTAGAGTTTGAAGAGACCTGACTTGAGTGCAGTTTTGAAGGCCTGGATGGTTGGTATAATGTGGATGTGTAGTGGGAGAGAATTACATTGTTTGGGGGTGCAGAAAGAGAAAGATATTATATATATGTCTTGGTTTTATATCAGCAGGTATTTTTTTAAAAATTTTAGGAGCTAGACATAGAAACACATCATTAGGTGCAAACAAAAGGTTATCGTTTGGTCATCAATAAGAAATATAAATGCACTCACACCACTGACGAATGCCTCAACTGCCGAAAAAAGTCTAACTTTTTCTTCTTCCAGCATATCCATCTTAAAAGCAATTAGCTTTATTTGTTTCTCATAGTCATGTACTGCCATTTCTACAGTCTTGGGCCTGATTAAAATTTCTGCGGAGCCATCTATCTCCATGACCTTGTCATGAAAGTTAAATCATTAATTCAGAAATCATTACATGCAAAACCATATTTAAAAGATTTATTTGAAATATGATCAGATTTAGTTTGTAAGCAGGCTTAAAAAGTTATATTTTCTAGAAAAATAAATCATGTTTTGCACCACTAGAAATTCTAGATGGGTAATAAATAAATCAATTAAGATATTAAAATTCATTTTTTAAAAAGGGCATTTTAATAATTGTTAATTGTTTGTATAATAGCAATTCATGACTTGGACTTGGTGTTTCATATTTTAATATATATATATATATATATNATTTAAAATCAAATGGTATAGGTACATTTTTATGCCCTGATTAAATATACTATTTTAAAAAGTATCTTCTTTAAAAAAAAGAAATAAGATTTATTCGAAATAATAATAATATCAATAAATGACAATGACAGTTTCAATAATTATAAGGCAAAGGCAAGGTATTTGAAACATTCAACGCTAGAGTCAGAGTCTGAGTACTTACTGTTTACAATCGTAGTGACTGGCGGTAAATTACTGGTTAGTAAATATCGACTAGTCTAGTATTGAATAGTAATAGTAATTATTACTTTAATGCTTAACCAGATCTCTTTAAATTTAATTAATAAGTTACTCACTAGTCACTTTGAGTTTGGCTTGACAATTAAAAAGTAAAACCATCGACAATGCCGCTGCATTGCGGCTGCATTGAATTTGAATGCACATATTAATGACATTGTCATTGACATTATTGGGTAAAAGTAAATTAAGTAAATTGTATAAGTATAATATTTAATATTATTAATATTTATTTAGCGATGAGTTTCTCAAATTACTCAAAATATGATTAAGTAGGTCCATTTTGAAATGAATGAACCATTTTTTTAAAATTCACTTGGGCATTTAAGGTAAGTGAATAATAACTAAGTCTTAGTGCGAGAGTTTAACAAAATTGTTAACGATATTTTGATGTTGTATTTTTCTGATCTCCCTTGTTTCCTGGAAACTTGTTTCGGGATTCAGGGGAAAGGACTATAAAATTGTTTTGTAGGTACCTTAAACATGTTTCTTCAACAAGAGCTATTTCCCCTATTACATACGCTGGAGCCTATATTATAGCATTTTGACCTCAGCTAATTTAATTTTTTTTTTTCATCCTTATAATCCGTATATTTCAAAGGATGTTTCTGAAGTGGCTATAATGAAAATGAAATGGTCAAAGGTATTTCGTGCTGCAGAAGAAGTTTAAATAAAATGGACACCTATAATTTATTTTACCATTCCCTGGGCCCTACCTAATGACCGATTAAGCCCAGCGGAGGTTCTTATCAATTCGATATCACACACCCCTACATAATGAAATGTCACCCCATCTTTCTATACTTCAACTTCTGAGATTTCACAACTTTGCTGCCATTTTTTTTTCATTCCAATAAATACAACTAAACAAAACTAAGGAAAATAGATTTAAGTCTACTTTTTTTCTTCTTCAATGCGGTCCTAGAAAATAAAGCAAACGGCTCAAAAATGAACAATCAGAGGCGTCTGAGCCCAGCACTGCTTTAAACTGGACTCACTAACAGCGAATACTGGAGCATTCTTTCATTGTTAAGTTGTTTTTATGCACAACTTTCTAGGAGTGTTCTGTATTTCAAAATTTAAAAAAAAGTATGCATTATCCTTAAAAAACAACAACAACATGCAAATTCATTTATAATCGTTTAACTATTGTTAAACCAGGAAAACATTAAGACTTCACTGTCCTCTATTTGTTTATGACGAAATCTTTTAGAATGTCTTTTAAAAGATCTACATTTCGCCCACTATTTCTTATTCTGAGGCCTCAATTGAGTGAAATCGTTCATGATGTAATTTGGGTATGTTGTTTGCGCCATATTTAAAAAAACACAAATGAGCTTGTATGATTGCGATGATGCACAGATTCGTGAGTCTCTTTTGAAAAATTGATATGCGATTCTTGAAATGCATTATTCCTTCACAAAACCAACTCAACCCCCCCCCCCCCCCCCATCTTTTGAAAAATTGATATGCGATTCTTGAAATGCATTTTTCCCTCACAAAACCAACCCCACCCCCCCCCCCCCCCAAATAATCGTCTCTACATTTTTGTGAAGCTTTCTATAATTTTGGTAAATGTTATCATTACGGAACTCGACGAGAAACTCCCTATAGAGAGTATTAAACTTTATTTTAAGCCTCAACAGGAAGGGACAGCCTAGCTCATAGCTTGAAGGGACAGCCTAGCTCATAGCTTGAAGGGACAGCCTAGCTCATAGCTTGAAGGGACAGCCTAGCACATAGCTTGAAGGGACAGCCTAGCTCATAGCTTGAAGGGACAGCCTAGCTCATAGCTTGAAAGGACAGCCTAGCTCATAGCTTGAAGGGACAGCCTAGCACATAGCTTGAAGGGACAGCCTAGCACATAGCTTGGCTTATGGCTTATATTGGAATGTAAGTTTCAAGAAACAACTTTTCCTCATCATCGAAGTGCAAACACGTCCATGTGACCATAATTGTAATGTCTTCTTCTTAACTGCCATTGCCACGCAACAGTGATATCTTTATTTTCTGCAGACCCCCAGCTGTCACCTAAAGACGGGGGTCACCCACAAGCCACCCATCCGAGGAAAAGTTTTCGGCTTATTTTGTTTCCCTCAGATATTTGGAAAGGAGCTCGGAGATGGAGCCCGGAGCTCTGGGGCAGAGTCTTTTTGCCCAGATGTGGAGCGGAGCTCAAGCTCTTAAAATTTCTTACGGTTCCGAGCTCCAAAAGTATTAATAAATAAATTTGTAAAATAATACTTCATTTTATTTTTAACAAATTAAAATTGATAACCTATACTTCATCAAGCAGCTTTGTTCCCCAGACACTTCTACCGACTATGTTGCAACACTTTTTTTACCAGCTAAGTTGCCCCACTCTTCTACCAGCTATGTTGGCATACTCTACTACCAGATATGTTACCATAATCTTCTACCAGCTATGTTGTCTCACCTTGTTTACCAGCTATATTTTCATAATCTTCTACCAGCTATATTTCCATACTCTTCTGCAATCAATTTTATCCTTCTCTCCTACCATCTATTTTATCATACATCTTTACCAGATATGTGGTAATACTCTTCTACCAGATATGTTAACATGCTCTTCTACCAGCTATGTTGCCATGCTCTACTACCAGACATGTTGCCATGCTCTTCTACCAGCTATGTTGCCATGCTCTTCTAACAGCTATGTTGCCAAGCTCTACTACCAGACATGTTGCCATGCTCTTCTAACAGCTATGTTGCCATGCTCTACTACCAGACATGTTGCCATGCTCTTCTACCAGACATGTTGCCATACTCTTCTACCAGATATGTTAACATACTCTTCTACCAGCTATGTTGCCATGCTCTACTACCAGACATGTTGCCATACTCGCCTACCTTTTATTTTGCTGGTACATGCATTCATAATTCCTAGTTAGTAATGGGTAAGTGAACATAATACCACCCTCCACCCCTTGATAACGTTACCGGAGCTCGGAGCGGAACTGGAGCTGACAAATTTCGTCCAGAACGGACCTGGGGCGGAACTCGTCCGAAAAAAAAAATCCTGCTCCACAACGCTTGTTTTCCTTGACTTAGAGCTTAATGACGGCCTCGTCTGAGATACTTAGACATATGCAAAAGAGACATGAAGTCCATCTAACATCGACATCTCAAACTGGGAGGAGCTGGCAGAGGATCGATCCTCATGGCGGGGCATCGTGAAGGCAGGATCACTACATGCCGAGGATCAAAACAGGGCGGAAACAGCTGCAAAAAGAGCGAGGAGGAAGGCCGGTAAATACTGCTCCACCGCATTCGTGTGTGGGAAATGTAACAGAGACTGCCATTCGAGGATTGGTCTCACCAGCCACACCAAGAGCTGCAAGCAATAAAGATAATCTATCGTATCCCGCAGACGGAAAGATGCCATACATATGGTATTATGTACTTCTTTGCCATGGACGGACACGTACTGATAGTTTGTAGATTTAAAAAAAAAAAGTATAAGAAATTTCTTATTTCCTGTAAGTCAAATTCATAGACACATCTACAAAAACATTGAATAAACTAAAAAAAAAAAAAAATTGAAATAATTTTTAATTAAAAAATTTCAATCAATGTTTTATTGTAGAAATTGTTATGTACATTAATACAATTTAATTTTTTTAAAAGTGCAATAATTTTCAGCACCAACACATTAAAAAAAACTTTTTTTTTTTTAAAATTCAGACTCAGGCATATTTTATGTAAACCTAAATTCATTAAAAAATTTTTTTTTTATAGGATTTGATTTTTCACAAATATCAAATTTCTATAGTAAGTGTCATTGAATGCTTTAATCCCCATGTATTCGTCCCTAGTATCGTTAGACAGTTTCTCCTCAAGGCATCCGATGACCACGCGGTCTTCCTCAAGGTAAAACTTGTTGGCAAACAGGTGCTTCGCCTGGCCCAGACGAGGGAGGTCAGCTGCGGACGAATCAAACATTAAAATAATTCCGTTAAATAATCTGTATTCATCTTCAGATGTGTTAAAATAATCACCATAGCAACGTATAGTATGCTAAATGATCATCATCGCAACGTAATAGGATGCTAATGATTTCTTGGAGGTGATGATAGGAGATTTGTAGGAAATTTTCTGCATGGCCTTGACCTAACCACCATGGTTTTGGGAGTAAACATAAATCGTGATGTGAGAAAACCGAAAGAGGTACGCGCAGTAGCGTAGCATTCCTGGAGCAGGTCGTGTTAAACAGTGCTCATGATACGTGAGGTATGTAGTATGCTTAGGATAATAAGTAGTAAATGTATTGTATGTCGGATTAAATGCAGGATATGTGCGGATGTTGGGAAATGGTTAGGATATTACGTAGGATAAATAATGTATGTAGGATAACATGAATTAAATTTTAGGATGTGTAGGGTATTTAGTGAAATATGTTGGATATATATGGTTTGGAGGATTGTATGTAGGGTGTGTATGATATGTAGCTTATCTGTCACGATTATCATGTTTTATTTAGCAACACCCTCATCACACATTTAAAAAGTGTTTTTTTTTTACAAAAGTGCAAGATTCATATATCATACATCAATTTTGTTTTAAAAAACCTATGTATTGATTTGCTTATTTTATGTCTTTAAACACACAACTAAGAACCGACGCGTAAGATACTCACGTGTGCTCTGTATACACACCCATCTCACGGCATGGCCGGGGCACCAGGGCTTGTAAGGGGACCATATCTTAAACCTTGTTAAGAAGGCGTACATTCCATCGGGATTTCCTGGAAATGTTTTCATTCAATCACAAATGGCAACCATTTTTTTTAATCACAAATGACCAGGAATGCTTGGAGTCGTAGGTATTTTGAGTAACCCGAGGGCCAGATGGATATGCGCCCGAGGTTTTGGGGGAGACTGGTTCAGTTGAATGTTGAGTCAGTGGAGATTACTTAAGAAAATCGAGTTGAAGTAGGAGAAGTGGACGAATGGTTAGAAAGACATAGTGGTGGGGGGAACTCTCAACAGTTAGTTACGGTCAAGTGACAGATTGTTGCCATATGAAGAGAAGGGCGGTGTTTTGTCAATAAAGAACAATGCATTTCATCATCACCTGCGTGACCTGAAAATAGCTTTTTATATGAGTAAACAAAAAAAAATGTTCTTCGTTGTCATATATGATCACTAGAGTTGCTGTGTGCTTTCGTCTGTCTCAACGCCGTGGTGTGTGCTTCATCTCATCTTTATCTTATCCTATCGTATATGAGTTTAAAATATATTGGCAACAAAAAAAAATTATCATGGCTGTACTTGATTTGTGGAATTGGGTTAAAAAAATAAATAAAATACATTTTAAAAAACTACTTTCGAACACACTCACACACACACAGACACGTACGCACGCACACACACACACACACATATATATATTACTAATAGTGTAAAGTGCGTCTAACTCCTTGGAGTGCTCCCCGTCTGTTATGTAGAGCGACCACCTACCGTTGTACGTGCCGCGGATGCCGAGCTCTGGGTTGTAGTTTAATGTTGAGAAGTAGGCTTCATCCGGGATCAGGATGGTTCTGGTCCAGTTCAGGACAGCCTCAGCAGTGTCATTGTGAAGGATGTAGTCGATAAAAAATCTGTTCAGTGAAAATGGAATGGAAATCTGAACAGAAACTTTGATCGATCGTCTCATCTGATCAAATACGGAACTTCTTTGTAGGCACGTCACCAAACCCTCACCCCCCCACCCCCAAGCAGACTTGTCCTAACTCAGCAGGTCTCACACAAGAGGGCGTCATCTGGAGCGCCCCCCCACCCCCCTACCGAGGGTCGATACATCATTAAAGAAAATTTTTAAAAAATTGAGTCAAAACGTCATGGGATGTTAGGATGTTAGGAAAATACGTTGTGAAAATTAATAATTCAGTTAAAAATTGCTTAGTTTTCTAATATTAAAAAAAAAAAAGGAAGGATTTTTTTGTTTCTTCTTCTTTTGTGTCTATGAACTACGCCATTAGGTACATTGAAAGGTAAATACAGAGCCGTTCTTAGGAGTTTGAGGGCCCCGGAAGGTGGGGGGGGGTCCGATCGCTATTTATACTTTCCCATTCCCACGGCCAAACCCCCGATTTCCTGTCTGCCACCCCCAAAGCTCCCCCCCCCCTGCTGCTTCCCTTCCCCTGCCTCCGAATTCAACTCAGAATGATAAATTTCAGGATGAGGAAGGTAACGTGAGTGACACGACGGCTGCAATGACAGTTTAAAAAAAAGGGGGGGGGATCGACGGCACCTCACGGGGGCCCCCTCACGTCTGGGGCCCTACTTGGATGCGTAGTCAGCGTATGCCTAAGAACGATATATATATTAAGATTGTTAACAACATTGTTAATAAGGGTAGTACAAAATAATGTTACTTCCTGTTCGTTTTGCATTGGAACCAAGGAATTGGTTGTTTTGATTTACGTCGATATTCAGTTGTCATTTAAATACTGGTACCGTAAGTTTGGGGGCAATATAGCTGCTTTTCTCTCACCCCCCCCCCTTTCTGTTGATGTCCCTCTTCCCAAGGATTAGCCGTTTTTTGTTAATGTACATATGTCGAAAGGGTACACATTGAAGCAGAGTACATATGGAGCGAGGGCACATATAGGGTTAGTGAACATATGAGAGTAGGGTACAGATCTGGCATTTTTTTTTTACATATTGGGGCAGGGTACAGATGGGGGCAGGGTACAGATAGGGCAACATATACGAGCCAGAATGATCAATCCATTGATCGTGGGCCCTCAAAATATAGAAGAAGAACATATGGGAGCATGGTACAGATGGGGCATTGTACAAACTGGGGCAGGGTACAGAGGGGGGCAGGTTACATCTGAGGGCCGGGTACAAATTGGGGGGCAGGGTATATATGAGGGGTAAGGTACATATTGCGGCAGGTTACAGATTTGGGGGAAAGGGTATATATGAGGGGCGGGGTACATAGGGGCCAGAGTACCAACAGGGAAAAAAAGGGAAAAGGGGGGGGGGAATTTCCACAAATAAAAATCCATGCAAGCTTTTTTGTTCTTTCTCCAAATGAAACAATTTCATTATTATAAAAAGAAGTCGTACATTTGGGTGAGACTTTTATTTGTACCTTGCATCTGGTTATCAAAACACTTTTTCCATAAGGTTACTTCAAGCGGAACAAAAGTACATGAGCCCAAGTTCCACACGGCCGTCGAGACACGCCAAGTGTCACCGTCTCAACTTCACGGCAATACAGTACAAATATTAGCTTTTCGGAAAATCTTCCACGGCCCCCTACATTTCATCTTATCACACACTCTTTCATAGAATGTAACGGAGACTACGATTTAATGTATTTCTGTTATAGAATGTCACTTTTCACAACTCTCAGATAGACCTTATCACACACTCTTTCATAGAATGTAACGGAGACTACGATTTAATGTATTTCTGTTATAGAATGTCACTTTTCACAACTCTCAGATAGACCTTATCACACACTCTTTCATAGAATGTAACGGAGACTACGATTTAATGTATTTCTGTTATAGAATGTCACTTTTCACAACTCTCAGATAGACCTTGAAACCTCCAGAAAAAAAAAATGTATTAGTTTAGTAACTGCAGAGTTTTTCCCTAGCAGTGGTGCGCATGACTGAATGCTACCCCGGGGCAAAACTCCAAACAGTGTTGCTTCTCTAACGAACACACTTAAATATGTTTACAAAGAGATATGTACACATCGCAAAACTGTTTCTGGGTGGTCGCTCTTGTATCTACCCAGCGAGGGACGCCACTGATGTTAAGGTTGTGAAGTTGAGCACACAGTTCTCGTTGTTTTTTTTAATTCGAAATCATTCATGAGCAAAGGCGTTGCCTAGGTTGTCAGCGCTCAAAGGGTGGGGCATGTTTTTCACCTCTTAATCTGTAAGTCCACTCCACAAAGCAGTGCAGAACACCACCACACGCCTTCTGAAATACATTTCACTCTGACCGCTCCCTCTTCCCTTACACCTACACTTTCTTCCACTGACCGCTCCCTCTTCCCTTACACCTACACTTTCTTCCACTGACCTCTACTTACTGATTTCTAATCGCTTCTTCAACTCTTTATTCTCTCTCTCTCTCTCTCTCTCTCTCTCTCTCTCTCTCTCTCTCTCTCTCTCTCTCTCACACACACACACACACACACACACACACACCAAGAATATGCCACATTCACCAAGAATACCCAAACACTCACCAAGAATACCCCACATTCACCAATAATACCCCACATTCATCAATAATATCCCACATTCACCAATACTACCCCACATTCATCAATACCGTTTTATACGCCAATGTCTTGTCATCTTTACTGTTTAAGAATAAATTCTTGCCCTTTATGTTGTCCCCAACCCCTGGCAACACCAACGCGAGGCTACCTCTCCCGACCCTCACAAAACGAGCCTTGATCTAGAAATAAACTAAACTATATCTTCACGGTAAAGATATAAACCCCTTGAAAATACAAGCCTCGTCACTGCCATGTCAGTATACCTATGTGAAGTGAGTACGTTCGCGACTCTCTAAATTGTCATCAAACCGCAAGGCAAACATGATGTACATTGTTACCAGCAGTCCAATTGAAACCAAGGAAACAGGACAATTTAAAGGAGCCAATTTAATAGCGGTTGTGTGGTTATTTTGTGGATAGGGCTGGGGAACAGTCAGCTGGTTATATCCTTAAACTGAATAGTGCTTAGGAAGCAAAAAAAAAATAATATATATATATATATATATATATACATACTTATATATATATATATAAATCTCTCTCTCTATATATATATAGAGAGAGATATAAATATATATATATTTTTATTTTTTTTTTTTTATGTGGTTATTTTGTGGATAGGGCTGGGGAACAGTCAGATGGTTATATCCTTAAACTGAATAGTGCTTAGAAAGCAAAAAAAAAATAATATATATATATATATATATATATACATACTTATATATATATATATAAATCTCTCTCTCTATATATATATAGAGAGAGAGATAAATATATATATTCATTTATTTATTTATTTATTTATTTATTTATTTAATGCAGACAATAGGCGTCATTAACTGCACCATTTACAAATTTACGAAGTACAATTTTTTTTCTATCCGAACTACCGGCTGCCTGTCACATGGACAGAACAACTACCTGTCACATGGACGGATCAACTACCTGCTGTCTGGCAGATGGACAGGACAATCACCTGCTGTCTGTCATACGGACAGACCAACTACCTGCTGGCTGTCATATGGGCAGATCAAGTACCTGTCATATGGGCAGATCAACTACCTGTCATAAGGGCAGATCAACTACCTGTCATAAGGGCAGATCAACTACCTGTCATAAGGGCAGATCAATTACCTTTCATAAGGGCAGATCAACTACCTGTCATAAGGGCAGATCAACTACCTGTCATAAGGGCAGATCAACTACCTGTCATAAGGGCAGATCAACTACCTGTCATAAGGGCAGATCAACTACCTGTCATAAGGGCAGATCAACTACCTGTCATATGGATAGATCAACTACCCGCCGGCCGTCCTGTGGACAGATCAACTATCTTCTGGCTGTCACATGGACAGATCAACTAACTACCCGCTGGCTGTTACGTGGACAGATCAACTAGCTTCTGGCTGTCACATGGACAGATCAACTAACTACCTGCTGGCTGTTATGTGGACAGATCCTTTGACTGGACGCAACCCAAACGGTGGTGGCTTGTTCTTCCATCGGTATTGGTTGGCACTGAAAGAATCGAAAAAATAAGGAGTTAAGCAATAAATGATAGCGTGCGAAGATCAACGCTTCGCGGAATGGCATGCTCCCACCAACCCCCTAAAAAATCTAGGGTAAATAATGTTATCAGAGTAAACTTGTTTTACGTCCATCATGTTATCAGCTGGTGGGTACAAAAAATATCGTCTATTTAAAAAAAAAAATGTTATTGAACTGTCATTCAAAAAAAGACAAACAAACCAAAAACCAATTATGCTGTTAAGTCTACGAGAAAATGTCAGGAATGAAACCTCTGAGTCTTTCAGACACTGTGACTCCTCGTCTCTCCTTTTATCTTTGTGTGCTTCAAAAATGCAAATTTATTTTATGCGTGTATTGAGTTCCCTTTTACAAAAAAAATCGTATTAGTTTTTGTTTTTTTTAACAGTTCTACAGTACGCCCGTTAAACTAATATCTACCAGCGGTTCTCAAAGGATGTGGTATTAGGCACTAAGAAAATCATCCAACAGTGTTAAAATAAAATGCGATATGAAAGTGTGTCCTTTTAAAAGTTGTGTCGTAAACTACGAGTTAGATTTAACTGAATTTTTAGGAAGAAATCATTTATTATTAGTTACAGCCCGCCAAACGTTAGGGACGGCAATGGGTGAACTTCCCATCTACTAATGTTACTTGAAAAAAACATAAACTCAATTGACGCACATTTGAGAATCCCAATTTTGGCTACACCCCTTCCTTTCATGATACGACACTTCACCCTTTTTTTTTTGTCCACGCCCATGAACTAAATTAATATTCTGGATGTCCCGACCACTTTTTAAACCAAATATTAATTACACCGTATTTAAAATTGAGACGATTTCACTTTCCGAAAAGAAATGAAAATATTACGCACCAGTCGCAGCTGTGGTGTTTAAAAAAATATAAATATATCTTTTAGCGTACCGGTAGTCATCAGGAATTATATTTTGCGCGCTATCGGGACACAATACCATTTCCCATACCCAAATACTCGTTACAAAATACAAAGCATATAAAAAAAAAGCTACGAAAATAATCTCAGAACAAAATTTGCTGAATAGGAAGCAGCCAGCTTGTTAGGCAGCTGCCGGAAATGGAAGCAGTCCTCCAGAAACGTAATGTATATATATATAAATATAAGAGGAGAAAGCTAGAACTGGACATCTGGGTAATGTTACTAAATTTGTAATAATAGTTTTTGTTAATGTACCTGTTACGTAAATGTAGCTTTTTTTTAAAAAAAAAAGTAAATGTAGCTGTTTGGTAATAAGACTGTTGGTTAATGCAACTATGTGGTATTGCAACTGCCTGGTAATTTACTTTGTAGTAATGATATTATTTGTTATTGTAAATTTTTGGTTATGATTCTCTTTAAAAAAAATAAATTTCACATTCCAATTGTAACAGGTTAATTTTCTCACACAGCCAATGTTTACGTACCCAAGGGCAGACAACTTTATCTAAGATAACTCCGTGAAACTAGGAGATCACGTTACTGTTCGTATTTTTGGGGGAGGTCTACGGTAGCAAGGAGAACCCTTTAAGTAAAACATAATGGGACCCCCATGAAGGGATCACATGAGGGGATAACATGAAAGAATCCCAATGAAGAGATCACATAAAGGAATCACACGAAAAGATGTCATGTAAGGACCGCAAAGAAGAGATCACATGATGGGACCCCATGAAGGGCTTACATGATGGGACCCCATGAACGGATTACATGATGGGACGCCATGAAGGGATTACATGATGGGACCCCATGAAGGGATTACATGATGGGACCCCATGAAGGGATTACATGATGGGACCCCATGAAGGGATTACATGATGGGGCCCCATGAAGGGATTACATGATGGGACCCCATGAAGGGATTACATGATGGGACCCCATGAAGGGATTACATGATGGGACCCCATGAAGGGATTACATGATGGGACGCCATGAAGGGATTACATGATGGGACCCCATGAAGGGATTACATGATGGGACCCCATGAAGGGATTACATGGTGAGACCTCCATAGTGTGACCCCCATGAAACCATCTCATAAAGGGACAGCATGAAGGCAACTACGAGCCCGCCCTTTGTCCCTATTCAACATGATAACACCATCTATGTGTCATGAACACCCAAGTTCCCATATTTGCACAAGGTTTAGTTGACAGGCGTTTGCTCTACTGGTCTCTCTGACACTTAAAAGTAACAACGGCGTTCTAGGAAAAGATATCCGCAAACACGTGTACTTTTCCTGATATGGTCTAAGAAAGACATTTCTGTCGATGTCCGCAAACACATGTACTTTTCCTGATATGTGTTAAAAAAGACATTTCTGTCGATGTGCTCATTTTCTGATATAGGGTTCTCAACATATTTTCTCGCTAATGAATTGTACTTTTTAATTTCAATATATGGGATTTAATATTCAAATTTAATGTAGTACAATTAATTAGAGTGAATATTGCAAAATCTGGGCGATGCTGGTAATATTTTAAAAAACAATGAATTAAAAAAAAACAACTTATAGAGAGAGAGAGAGAGAGAGAAGAGGAAAGAAACCCTTGTTTGTGGGGGAAGGGAGATTGTAATTTCATAATTTAAAATAATAAATTAAAATAAATACGTGAAATTGTTAATAAATTATAGTACCGTATTAATTTCAAATGTTGAGAATTTTAACTAAACCGGAACTTAGTCCAATGCATAGTTATGTGGAGGCTTGAACTGAGCGGAACTGCAGGCCTTGTACCTAAGCCTGCATAGTTATGTGGAGGCTTGAACTGAGCGGAACTGCAGGCCTTGTACCTAAGCCGGGGAGGTGATTAGCTCTTCCATGTAGGCTCCACGTAGTAACTAGAAAGAGGCTTTGAGGAATGCACACACTTTCGTATGGCAAGACTAAAAATGATTTCAGGGGCTTACATTGGATAAAAATGATTGTCAGTGGTGAACGCTCACTAAAAATGATACCAGTGGCGTACATTCACTAAACATGATATCAGTGGCGTAAAAATGTACATTAGATATCTTTATGTTACAAATACAGTTTAAGTTCCTTAAGCCAATCACTTTTTAAAAAAGTCATTAAAATTATACGGTATAAGAGATACATGTATTGTACACAATACCGTTTTAGAACACCTTCAATGTTGTTGGCGCCGTTGTATGACTTCAGTATCTTGACAAGTTCAAAGTTCGTCTTAAGGGGAAACTCCTGGCCCGTAAGGTTGATGAAATACTTCCACTTCTTGTAGCGTCCGAGTTCCCGCATGCAGCTCAGCTCTGATTCTAGCACACTGAAGGTACCCCACGTAACTTTTAATCGGTTTAAAGGAAGAAAAACATTGGGGAAACACTGAGCCACTGCTGAAATCGCGCGCAAAAATCCGTTAGATGCCTTCACATCCACGTGGATGCAATAATAATTTTGCGGCCTGTAGATGGCCCGCAGCAGTCTCTCCACCATTTCTGAATTTTTGAAGGCAACTATGGAGAACGCGATGGGAAACTCTCGCTCTTCGTCCGTCAAGGACGACATCACGTACCCTCTCGTCCGGCGAAACGCTTCGCAGTCTTCGGTCAAGTTCATGTAATACTCATCACTGAGCGACTCGTTAAGGGTCGGGACCATTTGCACCACTTCCTCTGTGTAGTTTTTGTCTCCGGAAAACAAACGTGAGCAGTCGGCCTCTTGGACGGCGTAGAATCTGCTCAGCTCTTCTAAGTACCGCGCCGTCACTCCATCGTAGGTTGCATTCTCACGACTCATCGGCTCACTGGTTTTGCCGTTGGTTTTCACCCCCGTATCCTTCGCGAATTGATTCGTCATAAAATGCGGTAAACTCATGTTGTAATTTAGGTTCCCATAAGAGAGTAACATAATCGTGAGCCCAAGAGCAACGGAGAGCCATACGAATAGCCGTTTCTTGGTGCAGGATAATATTTGGTCGGTCTGCATATTGATTGAAAATGTTTACTGCGATCTTTCTCGCAATTCACCACAGATTTAAAAGAATCATTTAAGTTAGTCTATTTAAACAATGAAAGCGTCAATAGGTTTAATAAAGTCTATTTAAACAATGAAATGTAATTATTATTTTTTTTTTAAAATGTAAACATGTAAACAATTAAATCATTAATGGATAGGCCTGTGTTTTAATCGCAACAAACGCGCACAAATCCAAACTTTCAAAAAAGAAAGACATTTTGTGAAAACACGTCATAATGATTGACACATTGCCCAACACATTTCACCTCATCTGAAATAAGCGGCATGTGCACGGTCAACTGTTGAAGTACGCCATTCCAACAGGCATGACACCGGTGTGCTTGTAGACGTTGTTGATAGAAGGACAGAATGCTTTTGAGTGGCGGCATTATTCACCGATGGATACGTGGCATGGCTGAAAGGGGGTGGGACTAACCAGTGGCGTAGCTAGGGTAAGGGCCGCCCGAGGCGGGGCGGGGGGATCAAAGGACCCCCCCCCCCTCCCATGAAAAGAAAATTATTAATTCTTCAGTTTGCCGAAATTGTCACCACTCAATGTAAAGAAAAAACTTCCGCCCATGGTGGACCGCCGCCTCCCCACCCATTTTACGCCCCTGGGAGTAAAGGACCATGAACAAATTTGTGTTTTCGTGTTATAAAAGTTCTTTCCCATTAGAACAAATTCAACGTGTGTCATCCAAAAAAATAGGTTACAAAGGGTTACAAGTGCGTGTTCTTTCTCTCACTTCTAAGTTTACAAGGTGGGGGGGGGCAAGGGCCAGTGATGGTTGGAAGAGGGGTACTTTAAACATTAAAGGCTTACGAAATGGGGGGGGGGCAGGACTAATAGGGTGGGGTGGGTTCCTATTCTATCTGGAGTATTACCCGGCTACGACTGTGGGTGAATGGACCGGCAATCTCCGTCATCGACTGACTACGCTGCCATAGGAGGCCAACCATGCATGAAATCACTAAATTTGGTGACTTTTTGTGGTACGTTCTATAAGGATTGCCCAGGAGAGCGGAGACCAAATGAATACGCCCAGCAGGTGAACTCCCTTAGTGCTGCTGGTCAAACGAAAACGAGGCCTAATATTTAACAAAAACATTTCATATTTAGGAGACATGCGATTCCGTGGCGTATGACATTCCGTATCATAGTTATCTTCAATTTTATTCCTCTAGTGTCTTCAGTTTCACTGGCTCTCCACTCCGGGTGCATTTCTCCCCATTATTTACTCATAAATCACAAGCACATTATCCGTTGAAACGTATTTCATGTTTTTAATATCGTTCAAGAACATTTTTTTAATGTTAAAACCTTGCTTCGACATAATTTTGATGTTGCACTTTATATAAGTGTGGGGGGGCGGGGGGATTAGCCCGCGATTCAAACTAGTAAGTAAACTGATTTATTGTGTCACAAAATTATTTACGTCTTAGATGTTTATCACACCAAGAAACGTTTTTTGTTTGGAAACTTCTGTTGTCAGATTATAGGGCCGTTTGCGAGTCATACCCGGTACGTTAATCCAATGTTGCGAGCGTTCAGGTCCCACCCAGAATATGGATATCAATGTTGTAAAGTGTTAACATTTGGGACAATTATAACTCTAGACAGTTCCAGGACACGACTGAATGACAACTGATTGGTGGCTGACTGACAGATGGACGACTGACTTGTGACTGAATGGCTAGTGACTAATGACTGTCTAATGACTGACTTACGGCTGTCTGACGACCGTCTGACGACCGTCTGACGACCGTGTGACGACCGTGTGACGACTGTCTGACGACTGTCTGACGACTGACAGCTGACTGAAATCTGACTGACCGTTAACAGCTGACACTGGCTTGAAACATCAACCTCACTCATTTGAGTACCGACTTAAAAAAAAAGAAGAAGAAGAAAAAAAAAAGCACTCGACTTTTATGAAATCCAAGTGTTAAAAAACGTCAGATCTGTTTTCCCAAGGCTCGTAATCCTCAGATCAAGCGATTGTTCTAATTTTCTGTCCCTGGATCGGCATTGTAATTAGATTATTTTTGTTTACAATAGAAGGAGATGAGTTCCCGACTAGAAGGAGATGAGTTCCCGACTAGAAGGAGATCGGTTCCCGGCTAGAAGGAGATCGGTTCCCGGCTAGAAAGAGATCGGTTCCCGGCTAGAAGGAGATCGGTTCCCGGTTACAAGGAGATCGGTTCCCGGTTAGAAAGAGATCGGTTCCCGGCTAGAAGGAGATCGGTTCCCGGTTACAAGGAGATCGGTTTCCGGCTAGAAAGAGATCGGTTCTCGGCTAGAAGGAGACCGGTTCCCGGTTACAAGGAGCTCGGTTCTCGGCTATATAGAAGGGGCTTTTAAAAATAATCACACACAAAAAAAAAACAAAAAAAAAAAACAAACTGATACTGACAGAGCAGCACGACAAAGAAATTTGAAAATAATATCTTTGTTTTTTTTAAAGATTTAATTCCTAAATAGGATACAAGAAAAAAAAAAAAAAAAAAAAACAAACTGATACTGACAGAGCAGCACGACAAAGAAATTTGAAAATAATATCTTTGTTTTTTTTAAAGATTTAATTCCTAAATAGGATACAAGATTTTTTTTTCCTTTAAAAAAAAATGTGTGGTCAGTCAGTTAGTGAGTGGTCAGTCAGTGACTGATGGAGTCAGTGATTCGTTTTTTTTTTGGGCTTTCATATTTTAAAAGAAAATTGGAGATATCCCCAACGTTTATTTTATTTTGACTAGTTAAAGGAAAACATGGCGTCCAACTATACAGCTACACTATAATATAACGTTACTGACACGAAGAAAGGACTCATCACTTGGTGATATTCAGCCTCAGAGACTTGATTTTATAACTTGTATATAAATAGTCTATCTGGATGAATAGCCATAGCATACATTCAAACAGAGCTTGTTCAGATACAGTGCAAAGTATACGTTTCGGACTTAAGAGAATTTGAAGGGGAAAAAACAGCTTTCAGTGCACCCTAGAGCAGTGGTTCCCAAACGTTTAACTTTGGCGGACCGGTGAATAAGTTTCGAAATTTTACCAGGGACCGGTGCCTGATTTATTTTTATACTTTTATTTCTATTTGACAATAAATATTTATGTTATGGGGACCAGCAGTGTTAGGCATGTGGACCAGTGAAGGTCCACGGACAGCCACCTGGGGACCACTGCCCTAGAGCATAAGACAACCCCCCCCCCCCACCCACAGAAAAGTTGAACTGCTTAGGACTTGTTATTAAGATCTCGTGATCAGTCAGTGAATGAGTGAGTTCCACGTGAGTGCCAAGTGAGTGCTGAGTGAGTGGTCTTTGGTGTTTTTTTAAATCAGTTATATGTATTTTGCCTCCGGAATGTCCAGCTTCCTTTTCGAAACCACCCTTCACAAACTCCATATGTTTTATATGAATAGAATAGTACTGAGTGGGAAAAGGCTGTCATGCGTGACGCGAGAACTCAGAGTAAAAAAAACAACATTCTTAAGGTTGGGGGAAGGTTGGGGGGGGGGGGGGTTTTTATTAGGGGGGGGGGGGGGGGGGGGCGGCGACGACCATGAGTTTATCGCACCGGGTGACACCCACTGGTGCAGCCTATACAGATATTTCCTGACTACGCTGTTGTAAACTGTTTTGTTGCCCACGTAAAGCTGGTGCATATAGCGATCGTCTACCCGTTATAGCATCATATGTCTCCTGGGTAAATGCTACGAACATTTTCTTATTATTTGACCATAAATATTCATGTTGTGCGGACCCGCAACGCCAGGCTCTCGGACCGGCATCAGGCTTTATTGGAGATATACAAATTCTATATTTATGGTCTCCGGAATTCAGGATACCAAATGAAGAATTTGTGAAAAAAAAAAAAAAAAAAAATTTTTAAGGGTGGGGGGAGGTTGGGGGGGGGGGGGGGCTATTATTCAGTATTGCATTTGTTCATCTTTCTCTGTCAAACAACGAGCTTCACTCGTGACGGCTGAACTCCGGGTCAATGGTTTACTAATTTAATAATAGTGTGACTTTTGTTTCTCAAGTAGCAAATGCACAACAGTATCTTCTCAGTCGGCGGGTTTTTTATTCAACCTCATCTCTATCCTGGGATGTGGCAATGACCTGTTCTTCTCAGTGGGTTATTTCTCGACACGGACGGTTGATGAAGGCAATGCACTCTTACCACGACACAGGGCAGAAGATTTAGTTGCATATTATAGATCAGTGAAACGTAACTATTTCTTTCGGAACACTTGGACCCGCAGGGTATTTCCTCAAAATACCGGCCCCGGTGTAAAAAAAAAACAACAACAAAAAAACCCAACCTATACATTGTTAAGCCCTAGTATACAGACAATGTATGCGTCTGAAAGTCGCAATGGGTTTTTCAGTGGCATGTTAGATTGTGGAGTTGTTTTAATACGCCAATTCGTTGATTTATGAAACTTAAACTTTGGTGATTTTGAACATACTCCTCAGTAGCTAACATAAAACCTGTCAAGGGTTTTAAAAAGGAATTTGATTATGGGAATTAGTATTAGATTATACATTCGTATGTAATAATGGAGAGCTCATTTTTTTACCAAAAATCAAATTGAGCATTTAAGTAAATACAAGATCACCTTAATTTTTAATATTGACAGCGCTGATTTGGAAAAATCTTTAATAATGCGAAATTGAAAAAGATTTTTTTAAAAAAAATGTCAACATCCGATTTGGTGTGGACAGCCATACATCATCCCGTCATATTTTACACCCAAGACGCTGGAATGTGTCGTTCATCCCTTGTGGAGGTCATTAAAAGCATCTAACTGTCTCCTCTCTCTCTTCTCATGCATCATGTGTGACCTGCACGGCCCAGTAATCAAGTGAATAGATCCATCTAATTCTTCCCTTTCCTCAAAACAGAACTAGTCGCCTGAGCTTGACTGGTTATCGCAGCATGTCCCCTTATTTATAATGACACCTCGCTTGAGTGGACGTGGGTGGTGATTTATACCTTCAACACCCGTGGCGGTGTTATCAAAAGCCCCAGGTACACCATAAACCTCAACAAAGTCTGGACTAGTTGGCTCAGAGCGCGAGCCATTACAATTTTTCATCATCCGGAATGAGTCTGATTGAGAAATTGTATTCCTGCAATGTTAAAGCTCATCCCGCCACCCGATTATTTATGGACTTTGATGTTTGTGGAACTGTCAACGGTTTGTGGTCAGTCTCGATTGTAAAGTGAAAACCATAAAGGTATCTCAAAAGAGTTGTGATTGTCCAGACGACCCCCCAAACATACCTTCTCTATAACTGAATTGGTCAAGCCTT